GAGAGGAGGAGGAGAGGAGAGAGGAGAGGAGGAAGAGAGGAGAGAGGAGAGGAGGAGGAGAGAGGAGAGAGGAGAGGAGGAGGAGACGAGAGGAGAGGAGGGGAGAGGGTCAAGGGTTTAAATCCCGACGACTTTAACACAAACATAAAGTTCATAACTCTTCTTCATGTCGTATTAATATATTAGAGATGATGCAGCGAAGGACACATGAGAGAAACTTTCCTTTCCTTGTTTCCTATAATTCCTTACTAGCCTCCTTCCCTCATCGCTGCCTTGCTCCCTCAGATGATGTTCATGTTTGTTTCAGGAGGAGGAAACACCTTTCGGCTGCTGAAGAGTCTCTATGACAACGAGGTGGTGACGGAGATCAGGAGGAGAGTGATGGAGGTAACACACACACACACAGTAACACACACACTGTAACACACACTCGCACACAGCAACACACACACACTGACACACACACACATACACACACAGTAACACACACACAGTAACACACACACTGTAACACACACTCACACACAGCAACACACACACACTGACACACACACACACACACATACACACACAGCAACACACACACACACTCACACCCCCCCCCCCCCAGGACGGCGTCCCCTACATGGGCTCCAGCGCCGGCACCAACGTGGCGACCGTCAGCATCAACACCACCAACGACATGCCGATCGTCTACCCGCCATCCTTCAGCGCCATCGGACTCGTTCCCTTCAACATCAACCCGCACTACCAGGACCCCGACCCAGGCAGCCGCCACATGGGGGTGAGTCTCTCAACGTCCGGTCGCACCCAGGAGACAAACCTCCGGTTCCTTAAAGTGAAGTCAAAGCTTCATGTGTTAAAGCTGTACATATGCGTTAAGAGAGTTAGGGCGACTGTGGCTAAGTGGAGAGGAGGGCCGTCCTTCAATCGGCAGTTCGATCCCCGGCTCCGTCTCGTCGCATGTCGATGTGTCCTTGAGCAAGACACTTAACCCCAAAATTGCTCCTGTAGCTGTGCCTACGGTGTGTGAATGTGATAGAATCTAGAGTTTGGATAAAAGCATCTGCTAAATGACAGTAATGTAATAATGTAATGTAAAGCTGCATTCTCTCTAGTGTCCACCAGGGGGCGACTCCTCTG